TTGCAGCATTTGTCAGAACACAAATCCAGGACTTCAAGCACCACTGGAGCATCTTCCAGAAATCTCAAGTACTCGACACAAAATCACTATTTTAGAACCAGTACATAACTTTAGTCTTTTACAAGTTTATTAGACATGTTGCAATTGTCCGAGTAAAGTCTTTGCACAATACACCACACACGACTTATATTAGAGACTTTCATGAATTTAGAATTTGATAATAACAGATATGAGGTGGAAGTACCTACAAGTATAACCTATATAAATTATACTATTGATAATTGCATGTATATAATTAAAGGATACATTGACGCTGTAAATGAATTGTTTAAATATAAAATTGATTTAAAATTGAGATACTTATCAAGCTATTCAAAGTACACCTAGGCATTTCCACACATATCCATTTTTTCGGCTTTTAATTAACGTTTCACGATAAATTTATTATATCAAATTGATCTACTAAATTAATTACACGTTTTGATGCATAAATTAATTAAAATTAATCAAGGATTTAATTAAAAACTCTTAATTAACGCTTGTTATTAAACACATGTTAATTTACGAAAATCTATTTGACAATTAATGCACTTGAAGTTAGCAACATGTGTCAAAAAGCCTGTGGCCACTTGTACAATTTAAAGCGCGAAATTCAAATAGAAATTTAAAACATTGTGAAATTCACCTATTTGAATATATACGGTAGAAGGCAATGTGTATAGTCTTTGGATATGTGATATGAATATATACGGTAAAAAAAAAGTCGTTAGATATGTGATGGATAAATTTTTATATAAAATATTGTAGATTTGAAATATGTTTTTTACCGTATACATTTATATCACATATCCAAAGACTATACATATTGCCTTAAAATCATAAAGGATAAATGATGAGAATATGTAAGAAATATGAATTTGAAAACAAATATTTTATTTTATTGAAATATTTCAAAATGATATTAAAAAGTGCAAATAAATCAATTAATTGCTGTCTTTCTAATAATCACAGTAACACTTAAATAGTATTTAATTGTATTTCAAAGTAATAATTGTGTTTTCTTCCTGCAAAAGAAAAATTCTGATTGCATTTACTGATTTTGAATGTAATCAACTGTAAGTATAAGTAACATCAACTATTTCATATAATTCAGAATGCTATGCTTATATATTATATATTTTTGCTAATAGCTCAATAAATGTTAAATTAAAGTAGTTGTATCGACCAGAAAAGTTTGTAACTATGTTTTTGGAAAATCGTTCTTGAGGTTATTATAAAATATTTAAACAGTCAAATTTCTCAAAACGTTGCGTTTATATCCTGCTTATATGCTTTATCTTTTTGAGGCAAAATGCCACTCACGCCTAGTTTGCATAAATCAAAATAATATTCATAATCAGTAATTACAATATAAATTTACATATTCAAATATTTACCCATTTTTTTTCGAAATTTTTCTAAATTTCGAATTTTTTTTAACTTGCCTAGTTAAACTTTCTTGCAAACCACACATGTATAAAATACAATATACATCATATCGAATTGAAAACTTGATAATTTTACATTGAAAAATTTGTCGCTTTGTGATATTATCATAACAATCATTTATTTTATATAATGTACATAAGTTTGGCTTGACTTTTTACTATTTACAAAGAATATTATTACAAAGTATTAATTACCATTAAAATCCTACACATTTTGAAACTACTAAATATTTAGTCAAAAGGCAACGAGTATATTTTATTTCAAAATTAATTTTCTAAAAACTGAATTAATATACAAAAACTGTTTCGTCTCTAATTTTACCATCTATACATATTTTACATACTATTATTCACATACATTTTATTACAACAGTTTCTACTTGCTATTGAGTAAAAATTACTGTCGTTGATTTATATATCATCAAATATTTTTAACAAAATATAACTATAAAAATTATTTTTATATCTAGGTATTTAGAATTATCATATTATAACAAAAATATAGGTGTAACAATAATATATTTTCATTTGTGATGTTCAATCAGAGAATCAAATTTTTATTCTATAATACAAATAACTATAATAATAGAAATACTTGATGAAATGTATTTTGTATCGTTAGATAAAAATTATAAGTTACGTATATCAGATCATAACTTTCAAAAGACAGAAAATTTATTAATGTGGCATATCATATATTTTGAAACAGTTATTAATTTATATATATACATATTTAACAATTTGTTGCATTTGAATAAAAACATAAGAAAGAACAAAGTCCTTTTAATGGAAGTTATTAACATTAAAAACTCTTATAATTTTTTAAATGAATAATGTCGATCTTGCACATTATTTCCGGATAAAAATAATACATAATAATAATAATAATCACCTGACCGTTTATAAATAGATTTTTCGTGACTTCATCACTGGAAGGGGAGTACTGTGGCCGTACTAGGTTGCCACAGTACTCCGCTTTGATACTTAGAGCAACAAATGAGTTATGACGGTTTATAATCATTGTAATTCAACAATTTTATCATCGGATCCAAATACAAGAGATTTATTGTGACTTCATCACTGAAAGGGGAGTACTGTGGCGGTACCAGATTGTACTACCTTTTAAGATCTAGAGCAACAAATGAGTTATGACGGTTTATAGACAAACATTTTTCTTAAAAAAGATGAGTGACAGATTTTTTGTGATTTCATCACTGAAAGGGGTGTACTGTGGCGGTACTATATGCCAGTAATTTATATGATGTAAAAAGAGTTATGACACTATTTATAATTTTTTTAAAATCCTTTGAACATTTTTGCATACTTTAGATAAAATAGAGATATGTGTGTGTAATCTTTCGTCGACGATTTCGAGAGCACGAATCAACTAATTTTAACGAATCAAAAAACATTCGAATTCTATTGATGGGAAAATGTGGTAATTAATTTTTGGTAAAGGCAGGTCCAGCCGTTTCGGAGATAAGAGGCAATTAATGCAGAAAATGAGAATTCGTGTGTATATGTATATATAATCTTTCGTCGACGATTTCGAGAGCACGGATTAACCGATTTGAATTATTCAAAAACTATTCGATTCTATTGATGAGGAGACGTTCTCATCAGTTTTTGGTAAAAGCAGGTCCAGCCGTTTCGGAGATACGAGACAAAAAGTGCAGAAAACCTGAATTCGTGTGTGTGTGTATATATGGTCGAGTACAATCTTTCGTCGACGATTTTGAGAGCGCGGATCAGCCGATTTGAATGATTTGAAAACCAGTCGATTCCTATTAATGAGGAGACGTTCTCATCAGTTTTTGGTAAAGGCAAGTCCAGCCGTTTCGGAGATACGAGGCAAAAAGTGCAGAAAATCTGAATTCGTGTGTGTATGTATATATGTACGGATACAATCTTTCGTCGACGCTTTCGAGAGCACTGATAAACCGATTTTGATGATTCAAAAAAATCGATTCCTATTGACGGGTCCGTGGTAATTAATTTTTGGCAAAAGCAGGACAGCCGTTTCGGAGATACGGGACAAAAAACACAAAAATGGCAATTCAATTTTTGAAAGAACGAAGCGTCCGATTTGAATGATTCAAAAAACATTTTATTTATACTGAAGAAACGAAGACCTGATCACAGTTTTGGCAAGACATGTCCAGCCATTTCAAAACAACAAATTTGATTTTGGATATATTAATATATCCCGGAATTCAATGCAAGATCACCATTATCCATTATCCATTACTACCCTACAAATCACAATTTCGCAATCATCTTATCCTTGTTTAAAATCCCTCGACTTCGCCGAATCGAAGTCTTCGTCCTGCTTCGGTATCTTTCGCCTATCTCCGCCGCCGCCTCCGTCGTCGTCGTTTTCTACTTCGTCGGTTTCCGGTCAGATGTCCTCGCGATAGTCGTCGTCTTCCGGAATGGGAGTCACCGGAGACGGAAGCGTGTCGTCCAGGATCTCGGAAATGTCATCGTACCTATAATAAAGAAATGGAATGAAATCCTAGTAATAATAGAAGTAGTCATACGATGAGATGAGGGTTTTGAATTTTCATTCACGAGAGAACTAGCTGTAAGTGGAATTCTGTCTTAAGGCAATTAAGGCATCGTGCCTTAAGGCAAATTGCTGGAACTTCCCGTACCAAAAATTATTATTTTTTTTAAAACGATTAACATTTTTGAAAAAAATTTACTTCGAAAAAATAAGATTTTTGAAAAACTATAAATTTGACAAAAAATTACTTTTTTTGAAAAAAAATTTTTTTTTGATAAAATTTTTTTGAAAAGAAAAATGTTTTCTTTATTTCGACATATTTTGGAAATTCTAAACTTTTTTTCAAAGCAATCGTACTGCTTGAACTGCATAGAGACAAAATGTCAAAGCGCGCAAGTGCCGCGCCGCCGTCTAACGCATAAGCATTGGTACGGAACTCATAGAAATGTAAAAAAAATATACTTATTGTTGAAATCTCTATAAAATATCTGATAATTTGATGTGCATATATCTAATGATCATTTTTAACCGCCAAATGGCTTTTTTTTACTTTTTTCATTAGATCTCCGAAAACGCTAGACCTGCCTTCATGAAAATTTGATAAATTCTTCATCTTGTCAATACAAGTAAAATGTTTTTTGAATTATTCAAATCGGACGCTCCGTTCTCTAAAAAACTGAGTTACCGTTTTCGGCACTTTTTGCCCCGTATTTTCGGAACGGATTCGCCAAAAACTAATCAGCACGTCTCCTTATCAATACGAATCGAATGTTTTTTGAATTATTCAAATCGGTTGATCCGTGTTCCCGAAATCGTCGACGAAAATTTGTATCCGCACATACACACACGCACATACATACACACACACACACATACATCCATTTTTTTTAAGGCATGCCAAAATGTTCAGAAACCTCTGAAACGTAAAGATATATAAAAATTTTCATTTTCGATTTTTTTGCGATTACTATAACTTACCCTACGGAAAGGTAAAAAAACTGGTTTAGTTAATAGTAAAAAGTTAATAATGATGACGTATGTGTCGTCGGTATGGTCAAGTTTGATTTGAGAATGTTTGCAAATGCAAAAGATTATTTGGGAAACTATTGCGAGCAACAAATTCGGGACTTTTATTTGGTTTTTACATAACTCACAAATTTTATATAAAAGCACCCTTTTTCAGTTAGATAGGGTGAAACTAGATGAAATTTACTACGATTCCATGCCAACAGTTATATACACCCCGAAGTTTTGAATAAAACGACTTTGAATTTGATATTTAATTTTTTAGCAATAAATAGAAAATTCAGGACATTTTTTTGGTTTTGGTCAAACAACTCACAAATTTTATATGAAAGCACCCTCTTTTAGTTAGACAGGGTGAAACTAGATGAAATTGACTACGATTCCTTGCCAACAGTTATATATAGCCCTATGAAAAAAAAACAAAGGGCCAAAATTTACCTTAAGAGTCAAATTAGAAATGTTGTGGTTTTTGTTTATTTGACTTTGTTAACATAAACTTTGAAGACAAATTTTAGGCTTACAGTTTATTTTGCAGGACATTTATACAATCAGGACAATATAAAAACAACTCTTTCTTAAGAGTTTGCTCTCAGAAACAATATAGTTTTTTTGGTTTTGTAATAATTGGAGCTTTGAGACAGCTTGCAAATATTTTTTATAAAACAACGAAATAATTATCATTACCAATATTTTTATTAAATTTTAATTGATTACATTTTTGCAAAGGCAAGTCCTGCGTTTTTGGAAATGCTGATAAAAATTGGCATTTGTTAATCATTATTATACAATCATATACAAATAGAATTAATTACAAATAATAATAATAATAATTTTATGTTTATTCGAAAATAGACAGCTATGCAGGTATATAGGTAGATAGACAGTTAGGCTGGTAAACAGGTAAAAAGTAAAAAATGAGACTAATGGGACAATTATACCGTAACAGAGCTCACAAAATAGCATTGTTATGCCAATGCTATCTTATGCTTATTTTACATCGATAACTGCATCATCGAAGATTCTGTTATAATAAGATTCTTCCTTGCTTGTTTATATATAAAATACGTCTGATCGCGCAGCAAATAGATAAACCTTTTCACAATTTTCACTGCCAATAAACAAGCATAAGATACCATGACACCGCCACTTTATGAGTTCTGTTATGGCAAAATTACCCTATAAATCGGCTGGTAGATTTATAAACTAAAGTAAGTTGTAGACAGGTAGACAGGTAAACAGTTTAACTGGTAGATACATTGATACGTAAACAGGCAGATAAATAATTCCTGTCTAAATTGTAACTTACCTCTCTAAATCTGCATCAGGTATAGTTTGAGGTAAAAGAGTGTCCCTTCGACCCCTGGTGGTCGCCCTGCAGATTTCGAAAAGATGACATACAGCTAAAACTATCAGCATACCACCAGCGACTGGACTTAGCCACAAACCCTAAAAAAAACACAAAATATAAAATATATATAATCATGATATCAAATATAAAATAAAATATATAGAGACAGATTCTGCCGCATAACAAAAAAATGTTATGGCAAGGCAATGTTACGCTCCAACTTCCATACATTATGTGACAGAATCATACTGAATACTGTCAAAATGTCAGCAAATACATGTCAAAATGTCATGTATGTGCTGTGCATTCAGGCGTTTTATACAAACTGCAACGTCACTCGTATGTTATGAACCTGGGTCAGAAACACCCTGTTGTCTAAAATAGTTTTTTGGCATTTGTGCGGTTTCTAGGTTAGGTTTCTATCTGACGCCTGACTGCACAGCAACCACATGGATTTTGTCCATATTCTGTATGGGAAAATCGGTCCCATTATCATGTTTTGTTATGAAAATATCAAGTATTCCACCATTTTACAATCCTGATGTCAATTTTTGATGAAACTTGCCAAGACACTTAGTGCAGTTTTTTTAAGAGGAAGGCTTCCCAAGAAAACAGTTTTGAAAATTTTAAATTCATACTTGAACAAAAAATATACAAATTATATAATCGATATTAGTGAAATTCAATAATAATTGATAACATAATAACATATAAATGTGTTAATATTTGATAATAAAACAAGAATTATTTATTTGGTTTTAAAATCACTACAAAAATTAATATACTTATATAGATTTTTTTTCTATTTATTTCAAATGATTTATAACAACGTAACTAATAAATAAAGTTATTATTTTGTACATTTATTTATGATTATTAATAAATTTTGTACGATAATTATTAGTAAATCGTTCCACAATCTTAATTCTTGAAAACTTGTGGGGCAATTGTGTCTTTTATGACTTGAGAGCTCATAATTATCAAACTATCTGGCATATTTTTTTTTTCTATTTTTCCCAGCAATACTATCACTCCGTTGCGGTTTGATGTTGAATTCTGGGACACCCTGTATATTAATATTCGATTTATTTTATATTATATTCATTTCATATTTACCTGTGGCCAAACTATGAGTGCAACTCCAATTGCAACATAAGGTGGAGCCAATCTCCAGCTTCCTAACAAATTACTTGATTTGTCCCAACAGCTGATTAGGCCATTGTATTCATCTCTGAAATAAATAATAAAATGGGAATACTCAGTTCGAGTCCTGGCACTGACATAGAAATATCATTTGATTTATTGGATTGAAAATAAAAGAGTTAGGATTGTTGACTAGCTTAATCAGTAACATGTCCGATTCATACTCGGTTCGAGTCCTGGCACTGACAAGGAATTGTTATTTGATTTGTTGATTTGAAATTAAGTAAAATTTAGATAGTTGGATAGCTCAGTCAGTAGCATGCCCGACTCCCTGACACTGACATGGAATTGTCGTTCGATTTGTTGGATTGAAATAAAGTAGAATTTAGATTGTTGAATAGCTCACTTATTAGCATGCCCGACTCACACACCAAAGATGATACTTAGTTCGAGTCCTGGCACTGACCAAGGAATGTCATTTGATTTGTTGAATTGAAATTAGGTAGAATTTAGATTTTTGAATAGCTCAGTCAGTAGCATGCCCGACTCACAGCCCAGGAGTACTCGGTTCGAGTCCTGGCACTGACATAAAATTGTCTTTTGACTTGTTGGATTGAAATTAAGTAGAATTTAGGTTGTTGAATAGCTCAGTCAGTAGCATGCCCGAATCACGAGCCAGGGATACTCAGTTCGAGTCCTGGCACAGACACAGAATTGTCATTTGATTTGTTGAATTGAAATTAAGTAGAATTTAGATTGTTGGATAGCTCAGTCAGTAGCATGCCCGACTCACGAGCCAGGGATACTCGGTTCGAGTCCTGGCACTGACCAAGAATTGTCATTTGATTTGCTGGATTGAAATTGAGTAAAATTTAGATTGTTGAATAGCTCAGCCAGTACCATGCCTGAATACTCGGTTCGAGTCCTGGCATATACTTTAGATTGTTCGTTTATGATAGAGTAAAATAAGAAGTTCTACACAGCAAAAGCTTGGATAATTATAGTCTCAATATAATATAAGCTAAATATTATATTTAGAATATTATTAAGGCAAAGTTAATAAAGAATAACAAAAAAATTGGCATTATTGGTAACCAATATTTATTCTTGTAATTTTAGTTTTGAGAAACAAATGATACCCATGCATATAAAAATTAAATTACATAAAAAATTAATGAATTAATTAATATCCAAATTAATAGAACTTTTAATAATTATTTACCTGAGACATATTTGTAGAAACAACGTAACGCACCACATCGTTTCTAAGAATAATATCATTGCAGAAACAACTCTGAAAAAATACATTTTTTTGTATCAATAGTAAATAATTTATGGAGTTATTTAAAATTATTTAGTAAAAAAATTACAATGAATAGATCAAAAAGAATTTTAAAAATTAGATTAGATTTTTTGATTTAGAACATTTTAAAATTTTTGATTAATTGAATTTTACATATTCTAACTTCATAATTTTTGGACTTCTCGAAAGATAACACGAGTGTGATACTCTAACTTCTGATGAATAGTTGGCAAAGTCTTTATTTACCAAAAACGACTAATACAGCAAACCATAAAATCTAAAAGTTTGACCTCGTTTTCCTCTATTATCTTATCAACTGGCGTTTTATAATGTCATTTTGAAAAATATGAAATCGTAAATGAACTTGCACCTATCTCCGGGAGATCTTATTCTTCATTCTGCTGCAGAAATAGTTTTTCTCTATTGTATGTGTGTGTGTCCTATGTGTGTGTCGTTTGACATTTTCACATTTTCACATTTTCCAAGGCAGTTATTTATAGTTAGGTTTTACTGCCTCCTGTCCGAACTTTAATAAGATATCTGGAGAAAATCAGGAGAATCACGTAGATATAGTGAGGATGTTATCGTAAAATTGGACGGAAATTTATTTTAGTCTACGGTGAAATTTATGGCCGAAAATACAGGTAGATACGAGAACAGGTCATCAGTTATTTAAAATACTACATATGTAAAACTTAAGATTTTTTGCTAGTCGGTGAAAAGTTTGCCCTTTTCTGCTAATTCTAAAAAAACTGTCTGGTGGATTTTCTCGCGAATCTAATATAAAATCATCTAATTAGAAGAAAAATGTAATTTTTTTCGGTCACGTTTCAGCCAAAAATTCTGAGATGATTTTGAAAATTCTATACGTTTTTTTTAAACCAACGCTGTAAAGAATTATAGGCCTACGAAAAATAGACATACTGAAAAATTTATGTAAAGTTACAAATGAGAGTTATTGCAATATACCTAATTTATATTCATTTGAAAAAAAAACATAATTTTAGTGACTGTGGTGAATAAAAATAAAAATAAATAAATAAAAGCAAAAACATAAAAATATATTATTGAAATGTTATATTCTATCCATATTAGCAAAACTAGCTAATAATTTTATTCAAAATATTTTAAAATTACAATTAGACAAGTGGACTAATCGCATTAACTTATTTCTAATGATGACATCGTTGGCCAATGACGAATTAGTATTTGGCGTAACGCATTTCCGTTGCGTTTTCTCTTAGCTATCCCGTAGTCGCGCTAATAATTTTACTAACTAATTTAATCCAATAATTAACTATATTAATCTAATAATTAACTTATTTCTAATGACGACATCGTTGGCCAATGATGAATCAGTATTTGGCGTAACGCATTTCCGTTGCGTTTTCTCTTAGCTATCCCGTAGTCGCGCTAATAATTTTACTAACTAATTTAATCCAATAATTAACTATATTAATCTAATAATAACTTATTTCTAATGACGACATCGTTGGCCAATGATGAATCAGTATTTGGCGTAACGCATTTCCGTTGCGTTTTATTTGAGCTACATCGTTGTCGCGCTAATAATTTTACTAACTAATTTAATCATAATTAACTATATTAATCTAATAATTAACTTATTTCTAATGACGACATCGTTGGCCAATGATGAATCAGTATTTGGCGTAACGCATTTCCGTTGCGTTTTATTTGAGCTACATCGTTGTCGCGCTAATAATTTTACTAACTAATTTAATCCAATAATTAACTATATTAATCTAATAATTAACTTATTTCTAATGACGACATCGTTGGCCAATGATGAATCAGTATTTGGCGTAACGCATTTCCGTTGCGTTTTATTTGAGCTACATCGTTGTCGCGCTAATAATTTTACTAACTAATTTAATCCAATAATTAACTATATTAATCTAATAATTAACTTATTTCTAATGACGACATCGTTGGCCAAATGATGAATCGTATTTGGCGTAACGCATTTCCGTTGCGTTTTATTTGAGACATCGTTGTCGCGCTAATAATTTACTAACTAATTTAATCTACTAATTACTGTATTAATCTAATAATTAACTTATTTCTAATGACGACATCGTTGGCCTATGATGAATCAATATGGCGTAACGCATTTTCGTTGCATTTTTCTGACTACACCGTAGTCGCACTAATAATTTTACTAACTAATTTAATCTAATAATTAGCTATATTATCTAATAATTAACTTATTTAATGACGACATCGTGGCCAATGACCAATCAGTATTTGGCGTAACGCATTTCCGTTGCGTTTCTCTTAGCTACATCGTAGTCGCGCTAATTATTTTACAAACTAATTTAATCTAATAATTAACTATTTAATCAATAATTAACTTATTTCTAATGACGACATCGTTGGCCAATGACGAATCAGTATTTGGCGTAACACATTTCCGTTGCGTTTTCTCTGAGCTACACCGTATTCGCGCCTAAAGAAGTTTTAATTTAAAAATTATTATTTTTGTGATCTTTATATTAAAATTTATAAATTTTGTATTAAACCAAAAACTTACTATTAATAATATAAAATTTAAAAAATAAATAAATTAAAACATAACGAAAATAAATAAATTAAAAAGATAATACAAAATAAATAAATTGATTAGATAATGTAATAACAATTATTTATACTTTTAAATATTTTAAACTTACATAATTAATATGCCTCCATTATGTCCATGTACTAAAACATCCACACCGACTCCACAAAGAACTGAAATAGAAATTTATTTTTTAAATTTATTTTATTTGTATTTATGTTTATTTATTTATATTTTGGATACAGCATTAAATTTAGTAGTAACAGAAAATAAATTATCTTAATTGAATTAATCCGGTAATAAGATATTTTCAGTAGGAATTTCATCATCAAAATATTTTTTGATATCGAAATTGGCAAATTCAGAAGTATCGTAGAAACTTTGGGCTTTTAAAAATTTATTTATTTAGATGATTAACATATAAATTTTAGAATAGCATATTATCTATAGCAAAAAATTTTATCCAATATTAAAAATCCTTTACAAATTTATCCTCTTCACTTTACCTGATTTTTTTAATTAAACAACGTGAGTACATGCTTTCAGGTGAGATCCAAAATCCATTTACCGAGAAATAATATTATTACTCTTGTTTCAGAATGGAAATACATATTGTGAAATAATTCGGTGGCATTTGTAATACAAATGAAATAACAAAACGAATTAAATATACATTTCTGCCATGTGGGTTTATCTAATAATGCATTCAGAATCCTGGCACGGCACGTGATAGGAATTAAAATATTAAATCCTGTATGGAAAAAGAATATATAATATATACAGATCTGGATAGATAAATTAAGAATATTTCTCATTTAATTATAACTGTATTCGTAAAACACATTTTTATTAAAAGAAACTACTTAAAATTAAGTCTACTACAAATCTGGTATGCATAGGAATGTACTCTGTCGTATGAGGATAATTTATTTATTTTTTATGTAAGGGTAAGCAACTTCTAAGATTTTTCTTTATTTTTTGGACCAAATTTTTTTGGTGTGTTTTTTAAAAATCTCTTACAGCCCTAAATTTTCACCCTCCTTTCTCAAACCTCTATCTAGTTAGTAATAGAACCAATTTTATCTCGCTTTCTGTAAGTAAATTTTTTTCACAGTATTTCTATAAATTTTGTAGAGCTTTTGGCTAAACTTGAATTTTAAATTAAAAAACTTTTATTATAGGTTTTATTAAGATGATCTCAATAATATTTTTACAGCTCAGCTATTATTTATGATCGTGTGGCCTTTTCTGAATATTATAACATTTTATTATGTGTTCGGGGGCTAAAACTGTTATATGCAAATTGCTCGAATACATCAGAATTGCCAAAAATGTTTTTATGCAAATCAAGGGAAGAGTTTTATCGCGGATAAAATATGGATGTATCACTTGCAATAAAAGCACGCATGACTTGACTTTATTCATTTGAGAGAAAAAAAAAAAGAAAAGCTGAGGAGAAAAGCCAAGTCGAGTAGATGAAATTGCTGGGAAAGGGTAAATGGAGTGTTTTTCATTATGGATGACACTATTTGAGAAATATATAAATTATATATATATATATATATATATATATCCAGACAATACCATTCTTGTACGTTACAACTAGCCCCAATGTTTTGTTACAACTAACCCCAGGTGTGATTTTTAACTTCCCATAGGATAAGTTATAGTAATCGCAAAAGTTTCAGCAAATTATAAACATTGTGGCATACTTAAGGAAAAATTAATGTATGTGTGTCTGTGTGTGTATGTATGTATGTGCGGATACATTTTTTCCATGCGCTTCAATATTTCCTTTCTACGCAGCTAATATATAGCGATTGCTTTGAAAAAAAGGCAAAAACTTACAAAAATATTTTAATGTATAAAAAAAAAATTCAAAAAGATCAAGTTCGATCAAAAATTTAAAAAATTTCAAATATGATTTTTTTTCAAAGTTCTAAAAAAATGAATCTTTCTTAAAAATTTTAATTTTTGGTACGAGAAGTTCCAGCAATTTGCCTTAAGGCACGATGCCATGCACCCCACTAGTTTCACATTTATCTATTCAAAGAATGTAGCAAACACACAAATAGTTACACATTTTCATTAATTGATAAATGAAATAGGCTATATATAATTTAGAGTTGGTTAAACCGATACATTATGATAGTTTAAATTTAAATTTTCTGGCAAAAATGACGCACCTGCACACTTCTGTATACTTCGTCACAGCACAGTTGCTAATACAACTTGATGCGGGGGGAGGAGTAGAGTGTTGGACATGTACAATCAAGACGAATAAATATTTACAATTTTTTTGAATTTGAATTTTACAATTTTAAATGCATTAGGGTTGCTGAACGATGATGCATGTTTGGTGTTTCAGACGTACAGAATGACTTTATTTTGATATCTCAAATATTTATTTTGGGCAGGTTGCATGCAATTGTTTTTAATATATATAATATATATATATATATATATATATATATATATCCCTATAGTGGCTGTTCCGGCAGGAGGCCTGGTCTTTTATGGTCCTTCTGGCATTAAGCGTTATATTAAGTCCCCAGTGTAGTAGAGAAAAGCTCGCATTTTAGCCAGTTGTAGCATTTGTGCCATTCGTACTGTTTCATAGAATTACTGAAGTATACTTCTACTCACTATTTGAGACAAACGCCGCAGTAACCTTTGACTCGTTATTATTACTCGACTCACTCCTATTTACTACAGTAGTACTAGGTACTATACTACTCTCTTAGAAAAACACCAGCAACGGTAGAAAATACTTAACCAGTAACTGTTTCATTAACAATTGTGCAATTGAAATGAAATAGTCTAAAACACTTGCACTAATTTTTTTTCTAAAGTTTACTGCATTTATAATTGGTCCTCCATCTACTTTTTTACCCGTAATCGTCCAAAATCGAAAATGATAATTTTTGCATATCTTTACGTTTCAGAGGTTTCTGAACATTTTGGCATACCTTAGAAAAAATGATGTATGTGTGTTTTTGTGTGTGTGTATGTATGTGTGGATACAATTTTGCCGCGTTTTCGGGAGCACGGATCAAACGATTTTAATGGTTCAAAAAACATTCGATTCCTATTGATAGAGAGATGTGCTGATTAGTTTCTGGCAAAGGCAGGTCCAGCCGTTTTGGAGATACGAACAAAAAGTGAGATTTTAAACTCGTTTTTGCAAGAACCAGGCACCCGATTAGAATGATTAAAAAAAATTCTATTGCTATTAACGGGAAGATGTGCTGATTAGTTTTTCGCAAAGCCAGGTCCCACCCGTTTCGGAGATACCGAGATTAATGTGCAAAAAATGGCAGTCTCTGACAGAACTAAGCATCCGATTCGAATGATTCAAAAAACTTTCTGCTTGTGTTGAGGAAACAATTGCTTTTGGGGGAAAAATATTTTTTTTTTTTTACTTTTGAAAAAAAAAATTTTAGTTTCGAAAATAAATTGAATTTTAATTTTTTTTTGCTGAAATTCTAAAACTAACTAATATACTTGAAATAAATAATTTTAACCCTTTCCACTCGTGAAATGCGAAATTTATATGTATTTTGCCGCCAGAGCGAGTGGAAAGTGTTAACTTTGTAATTCAGTTAATATAATTCTTATAAAAATTAGACAATGTCTTTAATTTCAAATTCGATTGATTAAGTTTTGTATATTTAGTTTTCTGTGAGCATATATAAGTTACAGTATTTATAATAATCTAGTTTCATATTCCTCGAATATTTTTATATTACGGTACGGGAAGTTCCAGCAATTTGCCTCAAGGCACAATGCCATACACCACTAGTTATATTATGTTTTTGATATGTCTATATCAAGTTTATATTATAAAATATATGGGCATGTGTAAT